CGCTCTTGCACAAAAGCACAAGGCAGTGTAGACGCGCTCTTGTGGAAGACTTTTTGTACAAGAACGCTTCTGCAAAACAGTTCTTGCACAAGAAGCTGCCAGTGTAGCCCATTACAGTCTGAGCGACCTGGGGAAAATCATCCCCAACAAGCAGGTCAATGGAGAGGTTGTCGAATGCCCCCATGTTTGATTCACTTGCTAACCCATCAGTTTCTGTGCACAGTCCAGCCACTGGTCCCAGAATCCTGAAGCCTCCTCTGAATAAAAGCTCTGCCCCCCAGTCCTGACACTGTCGCTTTCTTCTTCCGCTCACTGCTTAACCCCAGAAATTCTGCCCCCGTAGCTCCCCGCCAGGAAAGTTGTCAAAATTAACATGGTCATCTCTGGCTCTGCAGAGGCTAATCCCAAAAAAACACTCTTGGGCTCAGAGGCTACTCTGAGTAACATAGGCTGTTCCTGGCCTGCTTCCTCCCACAATAGGGCGTTTATTTCTCAGGGGAATCTGTGGATTTACAGAGATCGCACCTTTGGAGCTCTTGTTTTGCCAAGTCTGGGATGGGGATGAGCGTTTTGGGGTGATGTGTGTCCAGCCTCCCAGCCACTCTCTTTCTTCCCAGGAATAAAACGGGATCTGCCCCCGCCAGAGAATTTAAACCCCTAGAGGCTTAAAGGTTGCATCTGAAGAAGTGGGTTGTGCCCACGAAAGCTCTACATATTTTGTTAGTCTCTACAGTGCTGCAGGACTAGGCGTTGTTTTTTAAGTTTTTTCTATTAGGCTATGTCTTAAAAAGAGGGATGTCAATTAGACAGATCGAAATTGCAAATGAAACCAGGATTTGAATTTCCCGCACTTCATTTGCATAATGGCGGCCACGTGTTCTTTCGAAAAAGGGCTTTTCAAAAGTAAAACCGTCATCTAGACACAGTTTTAGGGGGAAAAAAACCCTTTTTTGAAAGAACCAGTAAACCTCATTTTTTTCAGGCATCACGGTTCTTTCAAAAAAGGTGGGTTTCACTTTCAAAATACCCGTTTTCAAAAGAACACACGGCCGCCGTTATGCAAACGAAGCACAGGAAATTCAAATCCTGGCTTCATTCGCAATTTCAATCTGTCTAATTTACATCCCTCTTTCGAAAGAGGGCTGTCGTTTAGACATGCCCTTACAGACTAACACGGCTGCCCCTCTGAAACTTTTAAAGGCATCAGGGACACCTTCTCCTCCAGTTTTCACATTTTACCCCTCAGGTGCTGTTTGACATCGACTTTGCATAGGCTTAGGGAATGCTCCTGAGCAACAAGGTCAAACACTTGTTCCAGACACCTTTTCCGTTCATCCATTTTCCCCATGAGACCCTGTTTGCATATTCCCCATTATTCACAGCAGTATTCATAGAATACTAGGACTGGAAGGGACCGCGAGAGGTCATCGAGTCCAGTCCTCTGCCCCCATATGTAGGTCACCTCTGCCACCCCCTGTGTAGAACACCCCTGTCAATCCCCTGCCATCCCCTGTGTAGATCACCCCTGAAACCATGTACCATACTCTTAAGCAGTGGTCACCAACCAGTCGATCAGGATCTACTAGTAGATCTCAGAGCCTCTGACAGAGGATCCTGACTGGTTTGGGCAGGAAGCTCTCAACTGTTGGCGCTTCAGGTTCCCTTCCACCCACTGTCATGCTGCCCCCGGGAGCCTCCTGCTTGCTGTGCAGGGTGTGTGTGTGAGGGGGGACGGGGACTGATGTCAGGGTGTCCCTCCTCCCCCCGCTCTTGTACCCTGTCTCCACACAGAGAAGGAGATGGAGGGAGCTTGACAATGCAAATCTGTGTCACTCCCACATGGTACGTGTGTCTCTGTCACTCTCACAAACACACACTGTCCTTCTCTCATCTCCCAACCCAACACACACGTGGGGGGTTGTTGTTACTTCTTGTACTGCTTGCAAGGTAGGTACGTTTGGGTGTTTGGCTGGTCTGTGCATTTCATCATTTTCACTTCTCTTACGCTTAAGTGTAATTCTTTGAGCAGCGAGTTCTAAAATGCAGAACCTGCCGTGGCTGAGTAATTATCCCCATGGTAACTGCTATTCCTGGAAGTGGCTGGCATGTCCCTGCAGCCCCTGAGAGAGGCAGAGCAGAGGGTCTCCACAGGCTGTCCTTGCCTGCAGACACCGCTCCTGCAGCTCCCATTGATCAGTCACAGGGAGCCGCAGCCTGTAGAAGCTGTGGGCTGAGTGCCTGTAGATGAGGGGCAGCACATGGTGCCATTGCTGTACATGCCAGCTGCTGTCAGGAGTGGGGCAGGCCAGGGGTGGAGTAAGCCTGTCTTACCCCCACTGCTCCACCACCTGGAAACCATCTCAGTTAAACCGTGTCCAGCCAGAGCCTGCTCCCTGAATCCCTGTCCCAGCCCTGAACCTCCTCCTGCACCCACCTCCTGCCCCAGACATGAATCCCCCTGCACCTGAACTCCCCTTCCCAGAGCTTGCGCCCTGAACCCCTCCTGGACCCCCATCCCTCACCCTGGGCTAAACCCGGAGCCCCTTCCCCACTCCAAACTCCTTGGCCCAAGGCCAGAGCCTGCACCCCAACCCCCTACCCCAGCCTGGTGAAAGTGCGTGAGGATGGGGGAGGAAGGGGGATGGAGTGAGCAGGGGGAGGCCACGGAGAAGGGGTGGAGCAGGAGCACAGCCTGACGGAAGCAAGCGGGGCAAGGGAATTTGGGTTTGAGGCAGCTCTTACATTGAGCTTAAATTGAAAACACGATCTTGTGGTGAGAAAGTTTGGAGACCCCTGCTCTAAAGCATCCTGCATCGGCCGCTCTGTGAGCCATGCACAGCTTTGCCAGCTAACTTTGCAGTCCAGGTGGGGACTTGCTTGTCATCAGGAAGCACATGAACTAACTGCAGCTCCCCCCAGCCCCCCGTGGTACATATTCTGCCATTTCACCCATCTCCTCGTGTGCAGAGCATCATGGCTCCTGTCTGTGGGGTCAGGAGAGGCGGCCAGCGGTGAGAGGGGGGGGGGGGGAGAGTTCTGGTTCTGCTGTTTGAGCAAGTTCAGTTGGTGGCTTTGATCTTTTTCCTCCGCTTCTCTGGTTTTCAGATCTAGGGCCCCTTGAGGCGATGCCTCCTCTCCGGCAGCCTTTTTTCTCTCTCTCATCGCCTGCCCTGTTCTTTCTCATTCTCTCACCCCCGAGCAGAATGGATTTTGTTATGTGCATCTACGTGGAGATGATGCGCGACACATCGTCTTCATATTCACAACAGAATTCATGGGGTAGGGATAGGGCCCAGGAGTTCTGAGTGTGGGAGGGGGCTCAGGGCTGGGGTGAGAGGACTCTTGGTAGGGATATAGGCTTTGGGGTGGGGCTGGGGATGCAGGGACCCCAGGTTTGGGGAAGGGCTCCGGGCTGGGGAGCAAGAAGCGTTCAAGCTCTGAACTGGGGATGTGGACTCTGGAATGGGGCTATGGGGTGCAGGAGGGTGCTCAGGGCTGGGAAGGCTCAAGATGGGGCAGTGGGTTGGGGCTTATCCGGGCTGCTCTCTGTTGGGGCATGTGGGGAGGGGTCGCTTTCCCCTGGCCACAGAAGCTCCATGCTAGGGCCAGCACGGAGGGGCTCCTTCCCACCAGCCTTGGCACCTTCAGAGCTTGGGGACAGATTCCCTCCCCCCTGCAGCCCTGAGCCTGGCTTCATGGGGCAGCCACACAGCTTAGGGGGTAAACTTAGATCTCCAGTTCTTCCGTTTTCAGCTGACCCTGTTTCTGTCTGTGTTGCCTGCAGCCTGTGCAGCTCTGCGCTTGCAGCTGCATCACTCATTTTCATGCCTTTCTGCTCTATTTCCCTTCCCCAAAATAAGCAAGCAGAGAATAAACCGCTCGTTCTTGACTGCATTCAGGCCACGCATGTAAACATCTCACCAACAAGCTCCACGTCCGTGTGAGCAGGGCTGATCCCGGTCAGAACAAGCTGTTCACTTCACCCGGCTCATTGTGCCCATGACAGGACTCCCGGGGTACGCCCTGGAACTGTGGGGACCACTGTGCCCCCTTAACTCTGCCATCTGGGCTGTTGCTCTCACTGCTATGCAGACAAGCAGTAAATGCCTCCAGGCTAGTGCATGTGGAGACCTACACCCAGCTAAAGTACAGGAAGGCTCTTTAAGCCACTCATGAGTTGTACAATCACCCCAATGCCCAGCCTGCTCCCCTCCCATGAAAAGCACCATTTTACACTGATCAAGGCTCCCTTGGACTGCCCCATGAAGTAGTCTGCCATGCCAACCAAGAGCCGTGGCCACACCCCAGCCCTTGTTAGCCTGGGATCCTCTGACTCTTCAACCAACCCCACACCGTGAGGGAAAAGATCAGACAGATTTATTGACTACAGGTGGGTTTCAGCCATTAGAAGCGGCAGGCACAGAAATCCAAGTGGGTTACATACAAAATAAACAAAACGCCACCGTCTACATTCTACAGGCCAAGCAAGATTTGAATCAAGTGGTCTCTCACCCCACAGGGTGCTTCAGGGGGAGGGATCGCTCGGCAGTTTGAGCATTGGCCTGCTAAACCCAGGGTGGTGAGTTCAATCCCTGCGGAGGCCACTTGGGGCAAAAATTTGTCAGGGATGGTACTAGGCCCTGCTGTGAAAGCAGGGGACTGGACTCCAATAACCTTTCAAGGTCCCTTCCAGCTCTAGGAGATAGGCAATCTCCAATCATTTGTTCACAGTTCTTGTTTGGCAGGCAGAATTTCCTTCCCAGCCTGGGACCAACCTCCCCAGTTCAAAGACTGTCTTCCAACCCCTCTCCCAAAGGGCCTAGTGCTAGTGTCATCAGCCCTCACTTGCACCCTCTCCAGGTGCTAGAAAGATCCTTGCTGTGACACAGGAGGGTAGGCAGCTCCCCGGCCTACCTGCCTCACGTCTCTGTGAGAGTGAATTCTTTTGAGAGGACCAGCTAGACGCGCTTTGATGGCCAGATACAAATCAGTCTTATCAATTGCTCCGTTACCACAGAAGGGCTGGCTGTGGGCCCGTCCCACTTACCGAGTGTCTCGGAGCCAATGATACAGCCAGACTTCACAGTGACGGCAGAGACAAGCCAAGAGGGCCATGTCGTGTGGCTCAGAGCTATCTCCTCACGAGGTGTACTTTGCACACCACCACAATCGGATCGCCAGGGTGCTCCTTTGAGGTGCAGTGCTACAGCCAGGCAAGGCGGTTGTGAGGAGCCTTGGGAGGGGGGTATCAGGCAGTGCCAAGGCATGCCCACAAGCTAGCACCTCTGCCGGCGGCAATTAACCTCAGCCTCTTTCTCTCCTCCCCAGCACTCCACCATCCATGCCCCGTGGGGGCTGGTCTCCGCAGGGCTGGTCTTGCTGCTTCTTCCGGGAGCTTCCGTCGTGACAGAAGTCATCTTGGTCTTTCTGCTTCTGCTGTTGCTCCTGGTGCTGGCCCTGGCCTGGCACAAGCTGAGCCGTGATTCGGACGGCAAATACCACCCACGCCGCCTGTGCCAGCCACATCGCCTGCTGGCATCCCTGGCCACGCGCTGGCGTGAGTGGTGGGGACAAGTGGCCCCTGAGAGATACCGGCCAGGCAAGGAAGAGGACGAGGATGAGGACGAGGAAAACGAGGAGGAGGAGGAGGAGGAAGAGGAGAACCTTCAGCGAGACGAGGAGGAAGGTGGAGGAGGGCAGGAGCAGCAGCACCAAGAGGAGGCCACTGATACGCCAGAGGGGACCCCACCCCGTGATGCCCCCGATGGAGCCCAGGAGGAGGCCCGGGAGGCAGAGGGCACTGGTGCCGGAGGCCTGCTTAGTGACCTGCACGCCTTCTCCGGGACAGCCACCTGGGAGGACAGCGCCGTGGAGGGAGGCAGCCGCCAGCATATCACTGCTCTCTAGGGCAGTGAAGGGAAGGACACACAGACTACAGGGGGACAGCATCCCCCCACTTGCTCATGGGGCGGAACTCCTGCTCCCAGCCCTCTTCCTCAACCTCCCCCCTCCCTGCAAAGCTCTCCCCTCCCACACCATGAAGCTGCAATGGTGGCCCCCTACCCCTATGCCAAGAGCGCCAGCCCAAGCAGGGCAAGTAGCACTCCTGCACCCCAGACTCTGCATTGACTCTAGCGCCCCCTGCTGCCTGCACCAGGCGACGGGGCAGAACCCCGCATCGGGGGGCGGGGCTCTGCTCCCACTGGGGAGCTGCTGATTGGCCTACAGGCAGCGCTACAGGCACCAATAAAGGGGCGGCATTGCTCACAGCTGGACACAGTCTGCAGCTTCATTTTCTTCAGAGGGGGAACACAAGGGGCCGGGCCAGCTGGGACCCACACCCCTGGAAGAAGGGAGGGGCTTAAGGAAAGTTCTCCAGGCCCCACCTGGAGTCTGAGGCTCCCCCATTGGAGACTCCTCCTGGAGCGACTCACCAACTGGAGTGACAACCCTCCCAACACTGTGGTGCAGCTGGCAAGGGGGCGGCAGCAAACACCCCCCTCATTCCCCCAGCAGCAAGAAGGGACGGCCACAGCACAGCCATATACAGGCTTTAATTGGCACTGAGAGGGGCTGCCCACTCCCCAAAGGATACAGCAGACAAGCCAGTAACCCTCCCTCCCAAGTGAGACAAACAGGGGTCACTTCTCTGTTGCTGAGTTCCCCGGCTTCCCCCTCACACACTGCACCCCCTCCGGCTTCAACCCTTCCACATACACCCGCTCCCCCCACCCTTCCCTCCCAGCTCCCCCAGCCACACTCTGCTTCCTCCCCAGCACACGCGGAGCCCCACGCCGTACTCTACCCCGCACGCCCTGCTCCCCTCTGGCACCGACCCCTCCCCCCACCATCACTCCCACAGGGCTCTGCCCCCTGAATCGCAAACATGATTTGTAGCAATAATACTGAGCACCAAGGAAAGGGTTAAACGCTCCCTGGGTGGGAGCTGTAGCCCAGGGCCATGAGGCCTTTCAGGACGTACCCAGCACCCCCTGCCCTCCCTAGCTGGGACTGCTCTGCCCGCTGGAAGTGCGGCCCTGACAGAGCATCTCCTCCTGAGTCCATCCGGGCTGGGGGCCCCGATGCCCCCTAGCCCCACTCAACTGCCATGGGGCTATGTCCACCCCATGGGTCACCGACAGGCTGGGCACCTCCACGGGAGCCTCTGGCTGGCCCAAGCTGAGCCTCCTGCCCAGGCAGGGGCACCACGCCCACCTCAGGCTACCTTGCCGCCCGCCCCCGGCTCCCCTTCTGCTTCTTGGTGCCCGTCGGCGTCTTGATGGGCAGGGGGGCCGTGCCTTCTGGTGGGGGCAGCACCAGGGGTGGCCCCAGCTCCATGGGCTCCACCACCAGGCTGGGCTTGAAGGCCTCGAAGGGACAGAACTTCACTGGGCTGAAAGCAAGGAGGAAATGGAAAATCAGACACCCCCAGACAGGGAGTGAGCCGGCCCCATGCCAACCCCTCCAGGGGGCAAGGCCTGGGAACCCCGTGAGCCACAGCCCACACCTCGGCACTCCCCACCCCCAAGGCTCAGTCCACAGCCCCCATCCTACCCCCGCCACCACACCCTGTGAGCAGCAGCCCCCTGCCTTGGCTCTGCCTCCCCGGGCCCACGTGGCAGCACCACACAGAGAGGCAGAACTGGGAAACCCCAGAGAACGGGATGCTACAGCCACTGCTCCCTCGGTGGGAAAGGCCCCGTACCCCACTCCCTTCCCCCAGAGTGGACAGTTCCCCCAGCCTGGCACTGGACCGGAGGCAGCGCCCACAGAGGGAAAAGCTGGGAGGTGCCCCTCGCCGTACCTGACGGGCGTCCTGGGGCTGCTGTTGAGGCGGCGAGGGGAGCGCACCTTTGGCTGGAAGGAGAAGCCCTCCTTAATGCTTTCCAGCACCGACGGGGCCACATACGTGAAGCCCTGCAGAGAGCACGGAGGTCAGAGCAGCAGGGATGCCACGTAAATCCCTCCCCAGGGCCACGGCCCCCCCCCCCCCGTGCAAGCTCCACCCCCTCTGAGCTGTCATAGGGCCCCTGGTTGGAGAGGGCAGGGCTGACCAGTGCACACTCCATCCCCTTTGAGTTGTCACAGGGCCCCTGTCTGGGGAGGGCGGGACCGGGCCGTGCAAGCTCCGCCCCCTCTGAGCTGTCACAGGGCCCCTGTCTGGGGAGGGCGGGACTGGGCAATGCAAGCTTCCCCCTCGCCCAGGTGTCACAGCGCCCCCTGCTGGGGGTCCTTACCAGGAAGGCCTGGTTGGCACTCTCGCTAATGGTGGCATCGTCAGGGCTGTCCACGGGCGTCTGCCGCGTGAAGCGGGTGGCGAACTGGGTGGGGGCGGA